AAACAGGATTATCCCATTGGTATTTGAGATTGTTTTTGATCAAAACTGCTGTAACAAGCTTCATAGACTTTCTCCAATTCAAAAAATCAATTCATAAATCTTGGAGTTAACCCAGGTTATAATCTCTTATTTGAGGTCTTGTCCATGTTGCAATTGAAAACTCTTTATTTTTATTTTGTACCTTCTGGAATTATCTTCCAGATAAATCAACTTTTTGTTTGTTTCGCTAATTCTCTCATCCATCATTCTTATCCTGCTTTCATTTGCTTGTGCCCTGTATCCCAGCTGTTTAACTTTCTGTTTAACATTTTCCAACTCCTGTGTCATTCCTGAAACTTGATCTTGAAGCTTATTAATGCTCATTTCAATAGACTTGGCTCCTCTCTCTGCTTGCTCAAACTCCTGACTCATTTTGCAGGACATATCCTTCACAATCCACATCAGTTCATCCATTGTTTCCTGTTTATCTTGTTTATCTTCAGGTTGGGCTGGTGAAACTACTCTCATCAAGCATTCCAAGCTATGATCCGTTTGTCAGAAGTTTTAACTAAAGCTTTATCTCTTGTCCAAGCAGGAGTTTTAACAGCCTTATACTTCCTCTGTGGCATAGAGAAGAATAATTGGGAGTGAATATTGTTGTTGAGAGCTTTTCATTAGAAGCAGGGGTCTAAAAAACTCTAACAGCTTATCAGACTCAAAGGCGAAAGCAGTATTTGACTTTAAATCAACACAGTCTTTAGAGAATTTAACTAGATGTACACATTCCTTATTATTCCCTCTGAAGGTTTATGCAGAAAAAAAACAGCCTTCAGAAGGAAGAAACACATTTTAAAAGTTACCGTATTTTTCGCTCCATAAGACGCACCTCCAAATAAGACGCACCTCATTTTTAGGAGAGGAAAACTGGAAAAAAAATATTCTGGCAAATTCATAAGGCAGTAGCAATAGATAGATGTTGTCACATCAATTACCTCAAACTTCTTGCAGTGTACAACACAGTGAGAGCTTTTGAACAATTTGTAGTTGGCAAAGTTATTCCAATAGCCACAGACAACAACACTACAATGCTTTATATCAACCACCAAGGAGGAACAAAATCCATGTCTTTCTTGCTACTAACAGTACAGTTTTGGGACTGGTGTATTCTCAAGCATGTCATTTCACAAGTCATACATGTACCAGAAGTGGAGAATCATGAAGCAGACTTCTACACCAAGATGACACACAATGAGTGGGAATTACAGTACCATCTCAAGTTTTAACACTTATAATGAATTGTTATTGCACTGAAAGAGATGAATAAACAGATTGTTGCTGGGTAGTCAATAAGAGCTATGATGAAGAAATCACCACCAGCACAGGTGTAAGCAAACAGCAAAGCATGCCTCACTTCCACTCCCTCCCTTCCTCCCTTCCTTCCTTACAGCAATAAAGTTTTCTCTCTCCATCATTCAGTTCTTTACTGAAGGAGGATTGTGGGAGGAACATCTAGCCCCTGATGGGGGTCCTGTGGGGCACCCCAAAACACTGAGTAGCTCTCCTGGCCTCTTTCAGGACTGGGGCTGTGCAGCACTGTTCTGATCAGGAGGTACAGCCGGCGGTCACCATGCCTTTGGGGGATAGTGCACACAAAGGGCCAGGAGGCTTAGGGGCCATTCAAACTGAGACCTGGCAGGGGAGAGACCATTGTTGTAAAAGTGGTTTTCCCAGGGTAAGGCTCATCTATTGCACTTCAGATGAGCTGACCCCTGTGATTTCCCCAAATGTGGGAAAATCAACTGCCTAAGTGGGAGATTGTGTTTGTGGTTTCCCTTGGTCTTTCTAGAACCACTCTTTGGTCCTTTGCTATTTTCACTGCTTGCTGCCATAGGCCTGTTTGCCTTGCTGGTTTTCCAGGTGGGCTGCAGGAGGCAGATCCTAGAAAACTAGCAGTGCAGAATGGTGAGGTCCAAACAGAAAGCAGTCTCTGCTGCCAGTTCAGAGGCCTCCCAGTATGGCAGTGGGAGGCTTTTGGGTGGTGGTGGCTGAACCCTGGGTTACTGCATTCCCTCCATAAGACGCATGTACTTTCCCTCCCACCTTTTTGGAGAGAAAAAGTGTGTCTTATGGAGCAAAAAATATTTATCATGTCAGCGGTGTGGAGGTTTAGTTCTTAGCTGCTCATCCCTCCCAAGCAGAAGTGATGTCCTTTAGGATATATTTTTAAATTTGACTTTAGTGTTTCATTTATTTCTTTAAAAACAACTTCCAAAATTTTAATATATTCTCACATTCCCATCACATATGAAAATAAGTGCCTACATCCTGACCACATCTACAGCATAAATTAGAATATTTTTTCATACAATACAATTTCACCAGTGTTATGTAACATTTCCAACTTATTAATAATAAGTTTTCTTTTACCCTTACAGACATACATTTTAAAATTCTTTTATTCTATATATTCTCCCACCTCTCAATACTTATTTCTGCTCCTAGACCTACCTCCTATAATGTTTTTAAAGTCTCCTCTTGGTCCTCTGCTTTGATTGATATCTTATAAACTCTTATATCTTATAAAAACTTAGAAACCTTCTATAAAAGCTTGTTGTCCCTTTCATTCTTTCATTCTCATTTTCTCTTTCCTCCTATAACACAATTTCTTCAAATTTTGTAAACCAGTACAATTTCCCACTCTTAACACATCTGTTTATTTCCTCTTTATTGCTCATCTTTTCCAACCATTTTTTTAATTCCAATAACTTGTTTCCTTCATAGTACTTTTTCCAAATTTTCTTTCAAATTTTCTGGAAAATTCTCTAATTCCATTACAGCATATAATAATGAGTTTCATGGAATAACTATTTTTCTATACAACCGATACAATTCTATTTAACCTTATATGAGGTAAACCTAACCCTCCTAATTTTTGAGATTTATACCAACACTTTGTATTGATCTTTGTTCTTTTGTCAGAATTACAAAATTTATTGTTTATATTTTGCCAGTCTTTCCACTCTTTCTCTGTAACGTTTATTAGCAGCATCATAAATAATAAATTAATCTCAAGTAACACCTCCATTTTACACATGGCTATACCGCCAGTATTCCCAGTGTATTGTAGTGGATAGAGTGACAGACTGGGACTTTGGAGAACAGGTCAGAATCCCCACTTGGCCTTGGAAACTCACTGCGGAAGGGAGGAACTGGTAAAATCAGTCCTTAAATACCTCACTTACTTTGAAAGCGTTATTAAGGTTGCTATAAGTCAGTTCAATCTTAACAGTACAGAACACAAACACGGTAATCATATTTTTCCTAACGTCTTTAATTTATCTTTAACTTGTTTCAATTTATGAAATTTTTCTTTTTTTGAAATATAATGATGTTTTTTGTAATATTTATTGTATATCTAAATACTTTATATACACTTGCATAGTTTAACAAAGATTTTTCTCCTAAGAGTTTCTTCCTCTACTATCATAATTAAAAAACATCACCTCTGATTTCTGCCAATTTATCTAAAACCCATCAATCTCCTCAAGGTCTTTCTAGTGTGATTTAACTCAATCTATGCCCCAAAATGGGTCCTCTATTTTTAATAATGCATAATCCACAAATAAGCTAATATTAACCCTTTCATCAGTATCTATACCTCTTAGTAAGTTATCCTCTCTAATATAATTCACTAATATTCGTATCTACTACTTCACCCTAGGGATATTTTATCTGTTACTCCATCATTTACTGCTACCATTGTGTTTTTCTCCAATTAGAGATGGTTTGTCACACTTTTATGGGGATGTGGTGGCGCTGTGGGTGAAACCACAGAAGCCTCTGTGCTGCTAGGTCAGAAGACCAGCAGTCGTAAGATCGAATCCACGCGGCGGAGTGAGCTCCCATCGCTTGTACCAGCTGCTGCCAACCTAGCAGTTCAAAAGAATGTAAAAATGCGAGTAGATAAATAGGTACCACCTTGGTGGGAAGGTAACCGTGTTCCGTGTCTAGTCACACTGTCCATGTGACCACGGAAACTGTCTTTGGAGAAATGCTGGCTCTACGGCTTGGAAATGGGGATGAGCACGGTGTGGCTGATAATTTCCCCGTACAAAAAGTGGAGAAAGAAACTAGAGGATTTGCTATCCTAAACTGGATTCTGACCAACAAAGATGACTTGGTGGGGAAAGTGGCAAAAAGGGGAACTTTAGGTGAGAGTGACCATGTCCTTCTAGAATTTTTGATTTCAAAAGAAACAAAAGCATAGCATAGCCACACAGGTCTGCTAGATTTTTAAAAAGCCAATTTTAATAAGCTCAGAACATGGATAAGTAAGGTCCCACGGCAGTAGATCCTAAGAAGAAAAGGAGCCCAAGAAGGGTGAGAGCTCCTTAAAAAAAAATTCTAAAGGCACAACTACAAACAAGTCCAACAAGAAAAAAAGGGGGAAGCAGCAAAAAAGGCCAGTGTGGTTTCACAAAAAGCTCAGAGAGGACCTAAAAACCAAAAAGAGAGAGAGATGTACAGGAAATGGAAAGAAGGCCAGGCGGCTCGAAACCAAGCCTTATGAGGTAAGGCTGAAAAAATTGGGCATGTTTAGCCTTGAGAAAAGAAGACTGGAGGGGTGATACAATAGCACTTTTCAAATATTTGAAAGGCTATCATACAGAAGAGGGGCAAGATCTGTTCTCTGTTGTCCCAGAGTTCAGGATACACAACAATGGGCTCAAGTTAAAGGAAGCCAGTTTTGACTGAATACCAGGAAAAACTTCCTAAATTTTACAGCAGTGTGATAGTGGAACCGGTTACCTCTGGAGTTGGTGAGTGCTCCAACACTGGAGGCATTCAAGGAAAATGTAGATAATCACCTGGCAGATGTGCTTTGATTGTATTCCTGCATTGAGCAGGGGGTTGGACTTGATGGCCTTTTAGGCCCCTTCCAACTTCACTTTTCTATGATGCTATGATTCTAAGTGAAAGCTCTTCAAAATGTTCATTTGAGAACAAAATCTCTCTGAAAGTACTGGGATTTGTCAATACGATCTTTTCTTCCTTTTCCATTCTTTCAGTTGTGTAACATGTTTCCTGCCCTTGGCTTCCTTTTTGGTGCTCGTAAGACCCTCCTTAAAAACAGAGATGAGTTGCATGCCTTTATAACTGCCACCTTCATAGATCACCTGAAAGATCTGGATAAAAATGATCAGCGGAGCTTCATTGATACATTTCTCATCCAGCAACAAGAGGTAACCAAGTCTTTTGACTAGATATGGAATGGAGAATACTTTATTTTAATCGGAAGAACTAGCAGCATTTGTTTTCATATATTGAGTGTTGGTTGATAGATTAAAGAATTTGCCTTTTAAGGAGCAAGAGTTTGTATTAAATTCACCCGTGGAAATGAAACTTTATTCATTTAGCTCAACAAATCACCTTTCTTCTGCATGCACAACTCTTCTTGGCTAAAGGATGAGATAAAATGCTTTAAAGAATTACAGAAAGGTAACCAGTTTGCATATATTGTGTATCTGCAGCACTTGGTTTGAGCAGGGAGAGGACAGCATATTGTAATATTTTGGGATGAGCTCCTCAGTTCACATCATGAGGCAGATCTTGTAATTTTTTAGATGTTTTTCTCTGTCTGCCTTGTAACCTAAAGTATAGGACCTTCTTGCCAGTATTTCGATTATTTCTCTCACTGTGATTGTTTTCAAGTGAACCAAATTGGACTACTGAGTCAGTGGTGTGGCATTGTGTGTCATCACCCAGGGCAAGGCAAGTATTGTGAGGCAAAGGTCATGTGCCGGCTCTGATGCAACATACGGGCAGCAGGCCCGGTGCCCCTGGCAGCTTGGACTCGGACTGCTGGGAGCTGCAAGAGGAGCAGGAGGAGCAGCCGCAGGAGCACACTGGCCGGGGTGGCCCACATGCCCCAAAGAATTTTGCACCCAGGGAGACCATCCCTGTAGCCCATCCTCCCCCACACACTGCCACCACTATGATGAGCCACAGAGAGAATCTACAATCAATGAAGTCCCATCAACTTCCATGAAGTCTGTGTAGGTGGCAGAGTATATGTAAAAGTCTATTAAGTTTTCAAATGTACCCACTCCCGTAGAGACTGCACTGAGTTCGCTTCCAAAGCAGACTCTTATGTAATAATACATTGAGTCTGCTAGAGTGGAAGAAAAAAGAAGGTAAGGGAGAAGTCTAAGTTTAGAGAAGTCTAAGTTCTGGAACAGAGCCTCTTATTTTTAGAATCTGACAGGCAAGAAAAAAAGAAACAAAGAGAAGGCTATATAAACATACAGAAGTGCTGGTACACTGTAAGCAAGATGCCAGCCAACATAGAGTCAGCTAAGCCAGGTAACACACCTGTGACCTCTCAAAAGTTACATGATCTCAACAACTTTGAAGTATCTTTATTCTTATGATATGCAGAAGCAAAAGAAATGAATATAGCTTGCACAATTAGACACCATGAGTGAAAACAGTGGTTTATTCTCATTCCTCTGAAGAGAGCTGGAGCAAGATTGGAAACTACATTCCTAGTGACCCAGACAGCAGCAAATAGATGACTGATACTTTGACACCCAGATGAACTTTGATGTGATTATCATGATGGTCTGCTCCTCGCTGTTATTTAACCCTTTCAAGGATAAATGTCCACTTATGACAGACTACAATAGACTAAAAAAACACCCCTTGGTAGTTTGATTCTCTGGTGGTATTGTCTTTTCGGGACCTACTCTTCAGTCTCTCATGACTCACTGGTGGCCTACACACTTGGGTTACCCATACCCGCACTGAAGTAATCTTCATGGTCTATTTCTTATGGACTTCGCCTTGTGGACTATACTCTTGGATTATTCTGCAGGATAATGGGACATTTTCTTTTACAGGATTTTACTTTTGTACAGTATTTTTCATCTACAGGATTATTGAGGACTATGAACTTTTTCTAACATAATTGGACTATTTTGCTTTTCCTAATGGATTACTTTATTGGAGTGGTTTTTATGGTTTTTCTTGGCTTTTTGATTTCTTGTAAGGTTTTTGAACACTAGTCTATTTTTCATGTTTTCTTTGCATCACTGCAGTTTTGTAAATACCAGCACAATGCTTATTTGCTTGCTTTGGTCTAGATTGGTTTTGATACTTAAGAACATGCCTTTTCTTTAATAAAATAATGATTATAAAAATCAATTGGTTTCCTGAACAGTAAACTTTTCTTAGGGTCATCTGCGAGTGCTGCTGCGGCCTAGCACACTTAAGGAGTCCTACCTGTGGTGCAAGGGAAGTCTAAGGACTACAAAGGCCACATGGTTTTCTATTAATAATATTCAAAGGTATAAGGGTGTTCTTATTAGGGCAGACTTGTAAGAAGGGGAGTTGTTTCATGGCTAGCTGAGCTCTAGGACTCTCTCAGCACCTTTTAGCGTGTTCAATCTCCTGATTACTCTCTGTCCAGGCATACACGCGTGCTCTCGGGCGCCGTGTTTGCTTACAGGAAAGACCCATTAATTATTACTGTGGCCCATTCTGTTGTTATCGGCCTGGCTGCTTTGATTAGCTAGGCCGGGCAAGGGTCAAGGGAGGAGGTGGTGGCTCGACAGCGATCAAGCACCCTGGCCACAGTATCAGGCGTTACAGGCTGAAAGGAATCAAAAGTCACCAGGCAAGATGGAGCGCTGGACATATCTGCTTGACTCACTGTATTTAAAAAAGGAGAGAGCTCCCAGCGGATGGCCTCCACTTTAGATTTTAAAAAGGCTGTAAAGTGGTCAGGTGAAAAACTAGAGGGAGGCCTATAATCTGAACCAGTTCCGGATAGGTCATGAACTATACAGAATAATTCCATCTGCTGATTGGATGCTTCGCTTATACAGTTAGCGAAGAATGATCTGCATGCAGCCTTTACCTTAGTTAGGTAAAGGTTAGTTGTGACCCTAACAGCTACCCAATTATAATCCGTCAGGTTCTTCCTCCACTTACGCTCTAGCCTTCGCCTGTATCGCTTCATCGCTCGGAGCTCCTGGTTGAACCAGGGCGCAGGCCGAGCTCTGAGCCGGAGAGGGCGCTTAGGTGCGATTGTGTCTATAGCCTTGGTGGCAGCAGTGGACCAGCTGTCAACCAGAACCTCAACAGGAGCGCCAGCCAGGTCAGCCGAAACACCTCTCATG